GGACTGGAGAAGATAAGCCTCTTCTGAATTTATAAAGGAATGTTACTTGGCCAAACAAATCAAGAATCTAATAGAAACATAGAACTCTAGAACAGGAAGGGACCTTGAAAGGTCATCGAGTCCAGTCCCCTGCCCTCACAGCAGAACCAAGCTCCATAGACCATCCATGATAGATGTCTATCTAATCTGCTCTTAAATATCTCCAAAGATAGAGATTCCACAACCTCTCTAAGCAATTTATTCCAGTGTTTAACGACCCGGACAGTTAGAAGTTTTTCCTAATGTCCAACCTAAACCTCCCTTGCTGCAGTTTAAGCCCATTGCTTCTTGTCCTATCCTCAGAAGCTAAGAAGAACAATTTGTCTCCCTCCTACTTGTAACACTCTTTTAGGTACTTGAAAACTGCTATCATGTCCCCTCTCAGTCTTCTCGTTTCTAAACTAAACAAGTCCAATTCTTTCAGTCTTCCCTCATAGCTCATGTTCTCTGGACCTTTAATCATTCTTGTTGCTCTTCTCTGGATCTTCTCCAATTTCTCCACATCTTTCTTGAAATGTGATGCCCAGAACTGGACACAGTACTCCAGTTGAGGCTTAATAAGCACAGAGCACAGTGGAAGAATGACTTGCTCACAACACTCCTGTTAATGCATCCCAGAATCATTTTTGCAACAGTGCCACACTGTTGATTCATATTTAGCATGTGGTGCACTATGAACCCTAGATCCCTTTCTGCAGTACTCCTTTCTAGACAGTTGCTTCTCATTCTGTATGTATGAAACTGATTGTTCCTTCCTAAGTGGAGTACTTTGTGTTTGTCCTTATTAAGCTTCATCCTATTTACCTCAGACCATTTTTCCAGTTTGTCCAGATCAGTTTGAATTATGACCCTATCCTCCAAAGCACTTACAACCCCTCCTTCCTTCGTATTATCTGCAAATATAAGAATTGTACTCTCTATGCCAATATCTAAATTGTTGATGAAGATATTGTACAGAACTGGCCCCAAAACCGGCCCCCTGCAGAATCCCACTTGTTATGCCCTTCCAGCAGGTTTGTGAAATGTTAATAACTACTCTTTGAGAACGGATATCCAGCCAGTTATGCACCCACCTTACAGTAGCCCCATGTAAGTTGTATTTGCCTAGTTTATTGATAAGATCATGCAAGACATATCAAATGCCTTACTAAAGTCTATATATACCATGTCCACTGCTTCTCCCTTATCCACAAGACTCGTTATCTTATCAAAGAAAGCTATTAGATTGGTTTGACATGATTTGTTCTTTATAAAACCATGCTGGCTGTTACCTATCACCTTATTATCTTCCAGGTGTTTGGAGATGAATTCCTTAATTACTTGCTCCATTATCTTTCCTGGCACAGCAGTTAAACTGACTGGTCTGTAGATCGGTTGGTCTTTCCCTTTTTATAAATGGGTACTATATTTTCCCTTTTCCAGTCTTCTGTACTCTCTCCTGTCTTCCATGATTTTTGAAATATGTTAGCTAAAGGCTCAGATACCTCCTTTATCAGTATTTTAGGATGCATTTAATCAGGCCCTCATGACTTGAAGACATCTAACTTTTCTAAGTAATGTTTAACTTGTTCTTTTTTTTTATCTTCTAAAACTACTCTCTTCCCAATAGCATTCACTATGTAAGACATTCCTTCATCATCAGACTTCTTGGTGAAGACCAAAACAAAGAAGTCATTAAGCACTTCTGCCATTTCCAAGTTTCCTGTTATTGTTTTTCCCTTGTCACTGAGCAGTGGACCTACCCTGTCCTTCATCTTCCTCTTGCTTCTAATATATTTTTGGAATGTCTTTTTGTTACTCTTTATATCTCTAGCTAGATTGAGCTTGTTTTGTGCCTTTGCCTTTCTAATCTTGCCCCTACATACCTGTATTGTTTGCTTATACAGGCAGTCCCCGGGTTACGTACAAGATAGGGACTGTAGGTTTGTTCTTAAGTTGAATCTGTATGTAAGTCGGAACTGGCGTCCAGATTCAGCTGCTGCTGAAACTGACCGCCAGCCCTTCCTGCTGCAGGTGGGGGATACCCTAGCCAGACTGGGCCCGCTGTGGACAGGGGCTGCTGCAACTGGGCTGGAACACCCTTGCTTGCCGTGGGTGGGGTTGCTCCAGCTGGGCTGGAGTGGCCCACACCCTTGGGGTCCTTCAGGGCTGGAGTAGCCCCCTGCCTGTGGTGAGCAAGCAGGGCTAGATTACCCAATAAGCAGACTAAGCATGTGCTTAGGGCACCAGCAAAGCAGGGGCACCAAAAAAAAAAAAAAGATTTTACGGTATAGTATTGTTTTTATTTTGAATTACATATGGGGGGCACCATAATCTTTTCAGTGCTTAGGGCCTCTAAAGGTCTTAATCTGGCCCTGTCAACAAAGGGCTGCCCACCCCACCCGTTAACTGTAACTACTAAGTTTACTGGTTAACCAGTCACATCCCTACTTTCCACTTCACTCAAACTCTCTCACCAGGTTTGTGTGGTGTGTGTTTTTTGTTTTTTGTTTTAATGACCTTTTTCTGGGCATATCTCAGGACCTGTACTGATTTCTCCTTCTCCTTTGCCTCCCCTGCTTTCAACACTGAACACTCTCCTTCTCCTGATTCTCCTACCTCTCTAGCAGTTCCTTCAACAGCTCCTCTGGTAGGCTCTTGGTACTCTCATTTCTTACTATCCAAGAAGGTTCCATTTTGCACTCTCATCACCTGTCCCTCGTCTTTCTCTACTCCACAAGCTGCTATCATGGTTTCAACTACAGACTTACATTGGATCCGCACTTACGAACAGGGCTTTCTCACCCCGGAGCTCGCAGGTAGCAATCCGCCACCTCGACCTCCGGGGCGAGAAAGCCCCGTTCGTAAGTGCAGATCCGACGTAAGTCGGATCCGCGTAAGTCGGGGACTGCCTGTATTCATCCTTTGTAATTTGTCCTAGATGCCACTTTTTATTACTCCCTTTTGATTATGAGATCATGCAAGATCTCCTGGTTTTAAGCCAAGGCGGTCTTTTGTCATACTTTCTATCTTTCTTATGCAGCAGAATTGCTTGATTTTGGGCTCTTAATAATATCCCTTTGAAAAACTGCCAACTCTCTTCAGTTGTTTTTCCTTAGTCTTGCTTCTCATGGGACCTCACCTACCAGCTCTCTGGATGTGTCTAGACTGGCAAAAACTTGCCGGCTGTCTACACTGGCCGCTTGAATTTGCGCAAGAGCACTGACTTTGTAATGTACAAAATCAATGCTTCTTGCGCAAATACTTTCACACTCCCGCTTGGGAAAAAGCCCTCTTGCGCAAGAATACTTGCGTTAGAGGGCCAGTGTAGACAGGGAAGACCTGTTTTGCGCAAAAAAGCCCCGATGCTAAAATGGCAATTGGGGCTTTCTTGCGCAAAATCGCGTCTAGACTGGCCACGGATGCTTTTGTGCAAAAGCACTTTTTGCGCGAAAAGCATCTGTGCCAATCTAGACGCGCTTTTGCGGAAATACTTATAACGGAAAAACATTTCCATTAAAAGTATTTCCGCAAAATCATGCCAGTCTAGACGCAGCCTTTGAGTTTACCACAATCACTCTTCCTAAAATCTACTGTTTCTAGTTTGCAGTTCTTCCGTCTCCCGTTCCTTAGAATCATGAACGCTAGGATTTCATGATCACTTTCACCCAAGCTGCCTTCCACTTTCAAATTCTCAACCAGTTCCTCCCTATTGGTTAAAATCAAATCTAGAACAGCGTCCCCCATAGTAGCTTTTTCAACCTTCCAAAATTAAAAATATGGTCTGCAAGGCAGCCCAAGAAGGGACTGGATAATCTGTGCCGGCTGTGTTCGTTTCCCAACAGATGTCTGGATATTGGAAGCTCCCCCATCACCACCAAATCCTGCACTTTGGAGGAGTTGGTTGTTGGAAAAAGCCGCCTCTGCCTCTTCTCCACAGGCAAGAGCGGACCCCTAGCGGGACGTCGCCTAACCCAGAGACTCCAAGTGCAGCCTGTCAAGCGCTCAGCACGCGGGTCCGGGGCCACCCAGCCCAGCCCCTGCTGCAACGACGTCTCTCTGCATGGGCGCGGGGGACGCTCTGTAAGGGCCACAACAGCGAAAGGGGCCGCGCTCGGGGCCGTATTTTCCCGCGGTACCGTTGAGGACCCAGGTTGGCCCGCCCCCAGGCCCGCGCCGTGGTGGGGGATTAGATCACGGCGCCGAGCCCGAGTCGCGGCGCGGCACCCGGCCCGCAGGCGAGCCGCGGTACTTGCACCAACTCCTCCGCGTCCCGGCCGTTGCTGGTAACTACGCCCCGGTGAAAGGGCAGCGTGCGCTCCGGTGCATTGTGGGAAGTGTAGTTTCGCCCACTCTTGCGCGCCCAACTTCCGACTACCACTCCCATCAGCCCAACGCCATGCCTACATGGAAACCTCACTGCCCAGGAGTCCTTGCCGGGCCTTGAGCCGGTGGTGCATGTTGGGAGTCGTCCCGGCCGTTGCTGGTAACTACGCCCCGGTGAAAGGGCAGCGTGCGCTCCGGTGCATTGTGGGAAGTGTAGTTTCGCCCACTCTTGCGCGCCCAACTTCCGACTACCACTCCCATCAGCCCAACGCCATGCCTACATGGAAACCTCACTGCCCAGGAGTCCTTGCCGGGCCTTGAGCCGGTGGTGCATGTTGGGAGTTG